CAATTTCATTAGAGAGGTTTAAGGATTCTACTAATGACTAAAATTAGTCTAGCGATGAGCAACTTCGAATGTTACTAATACTAATCATTCAAAGGCAAATCATTCGCCCAAGTCGAATCCAATCATTCGACTCCAGTCAAATAATTACTTATACCGAATGCCCGTAACGTTTGGCCGAGTGCACGAATCGAAAGATAATTATGTCGGAACTACTTAGAACTCCACCAGATCATTCACCATGTCCATTATCAAGTTCATAGCCCTTTGAAAATATATGAAATTCTTATTGAGCATTAGGCGCCTCAAAGAGCCATGGAGTGATTTATGCTCGGCATCAAACTCATAGACGGAAGGTCAAGGATATACGAGATCGAATAACCAGAACTTAAAATGGAGCCGGGCAGAACATAGCGCGAGGCGTGATGAAGACATGTGGAGTAATATAGTAAAACTGTAGGTACTGGTGAAATTATAGGCATATGGGGCTTTGAACTTATCCCTCAGACCATTGAGATTTACTGTTATGAACAGGCATGTCGGTTAACACCAGGTGCATGACTTGTGCATCCTTGTGTATCATAAAAAAACGACAAGCGAATGGTGACCAAGAAATAGTTATAGAAACGTGTGACGTCCTTTAGAGAGATGGAAAATATAGTCAAATTCGCGTTAAATGGGTAAGATCAGGTTCGTGATGTATGGCCCAAAATACGGGAGACCTACACAGCAGTGGGTGAATTTGGACTGATGATGATGAAACTATAGAGAACCAAAGAGAAATGACGATCTAGGAAAGGCTGCTTGCAGCAGATGGATGTAACAAGAGATGAGAAATGGGAGAGGCCTTAGTGGAGAGGCCAGCACTGGAGTGCGATAGGCTGTTGATGATGACAATTGAAAATAGATATTTCACTGGATTTTTTAAAATTTGTCGTGAGTAATGGTTTTTATTTACAATTGAATTAATTAAAAATACACACCGATCATGTTGGCGACTATAGAAGTCGCTATAACAGCAGCTTTTCAGGTTCAACTCAATTTGGCTACTGTGCTCTCTGAGTGAAACCCAACTGCCCGAAGTTTCTTAAAACCGTATCCTTTATAGGAACTCCATAATATGTTAATTATGCAAAATAATAGACGTGATAAATTTTGATAAGCTATTGATAATTTTGTTTTACAATTTTTGATAACGGCGATGAATTAAGACCTATGCCGTGTCGTTTTGTTTCGCGAAGTCTATTTAGGATTATTTTAATAGTGCGATAGGATATCTAAGGTATTTAATAACTGTGGGTATGGAATTTGAACTAAAGACAAAGACAAACGTGACAGTGGAGAATAAGCAACAGTTGCAGTACAACTTAGGGCTTTAAATAGCAAAGAACTGAAGGACACTGCCTCTGTACTCGTTACCCTAAGACGTAACGTTAACAAGACCAATGTGCTTGTACTTTCAGGTGGTTTTCATCGAAAAAAGGTATGGTGTCACTCATAGACATATATATCTAAATGGGTGCGGTTCGTAATATATAACAACAAATGACATATTTATAGTCGATATAGCTTTTTTTTTATAAAAAACATAGGCGCGCATTTGACCTCCATCTCACCTGATGGAAAGTTACGATGAGGTCGAGGATGTAGCATGCACACCTAAATAATGCCTATTCACTCTCGCCTTGTAAAGGTCCAAGTTATAGCGTTCGGGGAACAAGTATGCAGGCAGGGAATTCTACTCCGTAGCTGTTCGCCATATAAATGTGGAAGCGATATGCTTCGTACGAATCTGGGGAATATCCACAACATAGAGGTGGAACCCCACGTCTAGTCCCCTATGGAAAGGGGAAGGCGGAATCAAATTATGCAATTCCATCGCACGCTCTCCGTGACATATCCTGTAGAATGCCGATAAGCTGGCAACTCTACGGCGGTGTTTAAGGCTCTGCAGCATCGCCTCTACTAATTCCGAGTCACCTATAAGCCTCTTAGCACGCTTGTGTATTAAATCCAAGGTGGCCAGT